GTCACGAGGACGAGGACGAGCCGGCGGGCCCCGCTAGCGCCACTCCTGCGGCGGATGAGCGTGATGAGTGGAGCGACCCAGAGGACGTCCGTAGATGGAGTGGCGGAGATGACCTTTTCGTTCGAGTTGATTTGGAGGAGGAGTCTAGGGGTCGTCATGGGAGCCCTTTGGAGCGTCCGAGGCCTACGTCCAGTGCCCCGCTTCCCGCTGAGCGGGAAACAAATCCTGGGTCTGCACCTTCGAGGGGGGCAGGGTCGGGGATTGGCCATCGTCCTCTGGGTCGCTCTGGCACGGCATCATCCTCCGCTCTTCCCACTTCGACAGAGCAGCTTCATCGACAGTCAGCCGGTGCAGATCGATTGCAGAGATTGGTGAGGGGCCCGAGACAGCGATTGGAGGACAGATTGGAGGGCGGTCCTATACCGGTGCAGGGTGACGACGGAGACAAACAGTGGTTGGTTGGTGGAGATGGTGGTGCGCTGGCCGGAGGTGGAGGCGGGGCCGAGGTTGAAGCGGCGAATGAGGGGATACCGATAGGCGGCAGTGGCGGTTTCAGTGAGTTTGGCGATATGGGTATGCCCCCGGGAGAGAGCGTGGGTCTGGCCTGAGGAGAGAGCGAGTCCCGTGGGGACAACAGTGTGGGTATGCAGGACTTACTAGGACAGATCGGCTTCGCGGACCCGAGTAGTTTCTCCCCTGCCATGCGCGCAGAGGTGATGTTGGGGGCAGAGGGGGATGAGGACCGGACACCCCCGGGAGAGACATCTGCAGAGAGGCTGGATAGGCTTGATAGTCGTCGAGCGTGCCTCATGGCACAGAGGGACCCCAGGACGCAGGAGCTCGCCCGTCTTGTGGCCGAGGACCGACAGAGGCAGCTGGGGACATTTACGCCGGCATCTGTTGACGTGGGGCCAGCTGCCCATACGGATACTCCGGCAGAGGTTCGCGACACCACGCAGCAGGAGGCGGCTTCGGCAGAGGTTTCGTGTACCGGAGTAGATGTTCAGCAGGGGACGCACGAGAGCGGGTTGGCACCGACAGAGGAGCCACGTTCGGAGCCGGTGCAGCCTCCTGCCGTGCAGTTGAGGCCAAAGGAGACATTGCAGGAGGTCACGGGCGTGCCTCTGCCCGTGGGTTCAGTTGAGGGTGCCGTGCATATGTCCTCGGGTCTGGAGGACATACAGACGGGGCAGTCAGTGGGCGTTGATGATATTCGCCCATCGACACAGGCAGAGGGGATAGCGCCGACCAACGGGGGGGACGGGATCGTAGCGGGGGCCGTTGGTGTTGGCGGGTCGGGGGTGCCGTCCGCGGCCGATCCGATGTCCGCGACCGGCGGGGGAGACCCCGCACAGGTGGACAGGCGTGACGCGGACGGACAGGAGATGCTACAGACTTTGGTGGTTCGCACTGCTGTGGGGCCAGTGGTGCCACATCAGGCACCGTTTTTCGAGGGTTATAGGCGTCCTGCACAAAGCGGTGGCCCGGTCGAGGAGCGACGTGTAGGCAGGGGCGCGTGCATACCCCCGGTCCCTACTTCTGCGCCGTCACGGACGAGGCCGGAGATTAGGCATGTGGCTACGCCTCGAGGCAGCTTCTCTTTTGGTTTTATGACCGCTGAGGAGTTGGAGGACCACGGCAGGAGGGATTTGACGGAGATTGACCAGCGCATTTTGAGGTCAGTCCCGGAGGAGGGGAAGCTGCCTCACGTGCAGGACTTATCTTGGGGG